GGAGGCCATCACAAGTAGGTTGGAGGCCATCGCAAGTAGGTTGGAGGCCATCACTACTATAGTACTATAGAATCTCTCAAGGTCGAAGATCTGAAAGTACACTTGTGGAACTCTTCGGGCAGTCTTGGACTTCTAGCGAGTTAGTGTGGAAGCCTGAGGTGATTCACGCCGCCGGTGACCCTGAAGCTCAGACAGATGGGCTCTTTTTGTTGAGCCTGATGTTTTTCAGCCAGTTCCAGATGATATGCATGCAATATATATATATATATATGTATTTATATAGCAAATGTCTGACAGACCATCTAAAACCTTCGTGTCACTGGGTACAGACTCGACAGAATCAGTTGTTTTTGGGAGCATACTGAATGCTGCATACAGTCAAAAGAATCCATTTTCTCGACAATTAGGGATCTCGCATCAAAAGCCTTGTCAGGCGAGTTGTTTTTGTTATATTAGCAACATATACAAGGAAATTTCAAATCACATTGTATGAAATTAGTATTAATACATACCGTGAACCGTTCTGATACCCCATATCTACAAGTCATAGCACGGTTTGCACGGTGGTCGTACCGTCGTACCACGGAGTCCAAGAGCCTCCTTCGCTTCCTCGCTTCCTCCTCAGGCGCCCGACACCGCACCGCCGAGCGCCGACCGCGGCTCGGGCGACAAGCCGCCGGAGGCTGCGCCAAAGGCCAGGGCGGCGGTATTTGGAGTCCAAGAATCGTTTGGCTTGATCAATGTCTACCAGGGGCCCCAAGTGTGAACAGAACACATGGACTGTTCAATTTTGGGTTGGAGGACACTGAAACATACTGAAACGATTTCACAAGATCTCAGACATCCGTACGTTAGCGAGAATTTATATACAAATGATTACAACTTGTCTTTGAATTCTGTGAAACTTAAGAATATGATAGAATATGTACCAAAAAAGTTGGTAGAAAACCGATGTTTCATGAAAAGAAACCCTTTGACGAAGCACGTCTAACGGTCCGCAGCTTCGAACATCGTTCCGTTGAGGTGAAGCACAGGATGCTAGACAACCACCAAGCACAGCATGAGTAGCAATGCACTTGTTGCACTTGTTACTATAGGCTTCTAGCTACTAGATGAGTAAAACACATGGTACCTAGACACTTTGGGTGGTTTATGGTGGTTTTTAGGTCAGGACAGTCTCACTTTAGAGTGGTCGGACCCTCAACTGGACCGGAAGACTTCGGTCAACATCCGGATGCAGATTGGTTTCGACCAGTGTTGAGGATCTCCAGATTCACGAGGGTCACTATTCTTGGAATGTATTTGTATTCATGTGTGGTTTAAAGCCCGCAGTCAAACACTTCAGGGACATCCCAAACATTTGGTGTAGGGCTTTCGCTTCTGCCGGCATAGGAAGCTTCTTCAGCAAGATCACTGGGGCCAACCGTTGGCCTTGTTACTCTCATTGCTACCCAATGATTGTTTGATGTTGTTTGTGTTCCCGTGGATGTGTGCCTGGCCCAAGTGACGGCGTGTGGCGGCCTGTGGTGCTACTCGGCTTTTTCCGCAGGCACCCGCCAAGCG